TTGCGTTAGACTAACAGCTAGCTGTGAGTCTAGCCTGATTTGTCTGTTTGTTTGGTATAAATGTTAAAATAGTTCTGATATGGTCCACTTCCTCACAATGGTGAGTCTGCTTGTCGCAACTTCGCGCAGTCCGGTCTTCTAGATTTTTTTCACCAGTTCAACGCATGCCTGTCTTCTCTCTCCTTGTGGTCTGTCTTATGATTCAGTCAGCTACAATCAAGAAACCCGTCGGTGATAGTAGGTAGTCTTGTCTTACTCCTGCGTTCACTTCAGACGCTTCACTGAGCTTTTGGTTTTGAATTCGTTACCATACAGTGCCATTATATAGATGTTGAATGTGGTTTGTTAAGGCCTTTTCAAGTAGGAATTGTTGTTGGGAGTTTGATCGTTATACGTACCGTTGTAATTTGGTTCGGACATAATTTGCTTCTTCTAAATCCAGCTGGTTCCATTGCGGAGTTTTGCATCTTGGGCATCTTTCAGTTCCTCTAAGATGACGTGGTGTAATATTTTTGCTTGGGGTGAACAACAGCATGGTTCCTCATCAGTTTCTGCCAAGACTTAAGTCATCCTTTTGAGTTTGACGAAGTACCTGTTTTTACAAACGGTAGTTTCCCTCCCTGTATTCCAAACCTTCTGCAATAGTAGTATAAGCATATGCACCTTGGTCTAGATCCGTTTTCAGTGTTTCTTGAAAGTTCACAGCTTTCAGTAACTATGACATTCTAGACATTTGCTGTTATCGGAGGATTGGTCTTCACTGGCAGTTCTGTTGCCGTTGGTGGTATTTCTGGACGATTTGCAGGTGGTGGTCGATTCAAGAGTCCTTTAAAGTGATTAGCTGAACGTGTCATTTACTTTTCCTCTTTGATAATTAAGTCCCCTTCACTGTCTTTCATTGGTCTCATCTGTGTTAATCTCTTCTCGGATATCGTCCTACTTATTTGATATAGTGTTCTTAAATCTCTCTTACCTGCAGCCTGTTCTGTTTCATTTGCTAGTGAGTCGAAAATTTTCTTTTGTCCTCCTAGCACTCTTCTTCACTCCTTCGTTTAGTACACTGTAGATTGGACCCAGCTTCTCCTTTCTTTGTTAATCTGTGCACTGGTTCATCCGTTTCGCTATCCTTCTCTCATCCATCAAAAACATTTATTTCTCGATACGAATTTAAAACAAGCAGGATTTAATGAATTCATCGAATTTCGATAGAACTCGTCAGCTGAATACTCTGCATACACGGATATATATACTTTTGAAATCACATTGGGAGATATAAGACTGATAAGTAAACAAACTACATTGAATTAGTCATACAGAAAGACAGGTGCGAATGTTTTCCAGGTCATGTTCAAATAGATAAGGGGAGAGAGAGTATGAGAGATCAAAATTAAGATAAAATGCATTACGCCTCAATTACATCACTTAGATAAACAATTAGTCATTAAAGAATATATCAAGAATTTCAAACAGAGTAATATCAATAGTAATAGCTATAACAACAATAATAATGACGTTGAAGTGAGTTAAGATAATGCTACTGATAAAAGATAGTTTTAAATGTCTCAAGAATAATAATAATAAGTAGAATAATAAGTAAGACAAATTACCATGGTAGATTCAGATTGACGACCACCTCCTTTTGTACACAGAGACCTGGTTTATAAACTCGAATTGCCTCCAGGTGTTCATGGACAACCGTTCATTTAATTTGATATTTCTGCCTTCCTAAAACGGTTGTATAAGTTTGCTTCCATCAATTTCAGAGGGTTACATTGTTCTTCTAAGCAGATTGCAGTGGTGTCTTTTGTAGCTTTGCTTCTTAGTTTGTGAGTGTTGTGGTCTATATCCGGTTTCTTTGAAGGCTTTCAGCTTGACCTTTAGAGTTCCTTGTGCTAGATAATGGCCTGAGCCCATATCTGCTCCTCTGCTCGTTTTTGTGTCCAGTAGGTTGCTTCTCCGCTTTCTTGAGATCATACAGAGAACAACTGATGGAATTAAAAGAGGCAAACTATGCAGACCTGTTACCCTAGGGTTTTGATTTTGAAGCTGAAGCTCACTGGCCCAGGTAGATAGCTTGGAACTAAGATTACTTAGTATTTTAGTATAGCCTCAAAACAAAACCTATTTGCGAATAAGATTAATAAGTTTGATTTGGGTATACAAGCCTATCTGATTTCTCTGCACTTCCTCAGGTGAACTTTATGTTTCCTAAATGTTTAAAGCTTTTTAGAGAATTGTTGAATCGGTTTGCATCTAACTGACTGGCCGAGCTTTCACCATAGAGCTTCTCAGTAGTTCAAATTGCTACATTCCCATGTAGCACACAAAGGTAGAAAAGTAGAAAAAATAATCAAAAGAACGATAACGAACAGAAATGTACGTCATAAAGAACAAATATGTAGAGAATAATGAAGATTTAATAGATGTGAGAGACTACAAAGAGTGAGTCTGTCTGTCTCTGTCTGGATTCAACATAGTACTTGGCACCGAAGTGCAGCAGTTCGAGTTGCCACGTTCCAAATAGCACACAAAGGTAGACAAGAAGATGAGTGAAGAGAATCAATAGAGTTTGACAAGTATACGAGTGAAACAGAATGGGTAATGGTAGAAAGGAATATGAAAGATTACAGAGACTGAATACATCTGCGCCATTGACAACGATTTTGAGCCATGTCACCTATTGTCTCCAGCCATTGATTCCTAGAGTCCCGAGGGCCCCAACCCGGGAGTCTGCATCCCCCTACCTGACTCAGTTTAACTGTCAAGGATTTCATGGATTGATGCCATGTTTTTGTTTGGCCACCACTTACCCTTTTCCAATCTGCACGTCTATCAGATAGCAATGCCCGTCGGGGGAGGCGGTGGTTAGGCATGCGCAGCACGTGACCTAGCCATCTCAGTCTATGTAACTTTACAGCCTCGTCGATTGATTTTCCCTCTTTGCCCAACACTCTACACCTAACGTCAACATTACTTACCTTATTAAACCACCTAACGTGAGACAGAGATCGCAGACATCTATGATCGAAAGCAGTCAACCTTTCCATGTCTTCAACGCGTATTGGCCATGTTTCAGAGCCATAGAGAAGGACGGAGCGAACTGATGAGCAGTACACACGTCCCTTGGTTGATAGGCGGATGTCACGCCTACGCTAGAGATGGTGTAAGTCAGCGAAAGCAGCTCGAGCTTTTTGGATCCGTACTGAGATTTCGTCGCCAATCAGTCCGTTGGTGCCAATACAACTTCCCAAATAGGTGAAGTGGTCAACATGTTCTATCACTTCACTCCCTATCACTAAGTTAGGAGTTGACGTGGTCCAGTCCTGTAGCAGCATCTTACATTTTGCAGGGGCGAATCGCATGCCAAACATACGAAGATTGCTGCTCAAGGTGTTCAGAAGACTCTGCATTTTGTAAGGATCCTCCCCTAACATGACTATGTCATCTGCATATTCTAAGTCCATAAGACTATTCCCTGGTAAAAAGTCGATTCCTAAGTCATTACGTTCAGTTAAGGATACTTCCATCAGCATATCTATGATGAAGTTAAACAGGAATGGGGAAAGTGGACATCCCTGTCGGACACCACTGGTTGTTACCAATTCAGATGACAATTCCCCATAAGCCCTTACACGGCTACGTGAGTTTGAATAGAGTGCCTTGATTAGTGCAATGTACTTTCTTGGCACTCCCTTCACAGTCAGACATTGCCATAGTACCTTTCGATCCACGGAGTCGAAGGCCGCCTTCAAGTCAAGAAATATGGCAATTGTTGGACGCCGAAAAGTGTGTCTATGTTCTAGAATCTGTCGAAGAGTGAAGATATGATCTATGCACCCTCTACCTGGTCTAAAGCCTGCTTGATTTTCCCTTGTCTGTTCCTCCCGAGTTCTGCTTAGTCTATGCATGATTACTGAGCCTAGGATTTTAGAGACTATGTTCGTTAGGCTGATCCCCCTATGATTATCACACGACGACTTGTTTCCCTTTTTGAATATCGGTATAATAAGTGACTTACCCCAGTCTGATGGCACTGTCTCTGATTCCCAGACTTTGCCTAGTACCTCAGTTAATCTACAAACTAGTATGTCACCCCCATATTTAAGCACCTCCGGAATAATTCCGTCGGGTCCTGCCGCTTTGCCTCGTTTCAAATTACTGATAGCTTTTGTAACCTCACCTACAGACGGCGGACCAGTGTCTATATCCCATTCGGGTACGTGGTGGATGGCGGGGAGGTTCAGTGTGGCTGTAGGCAAGTTAAATTGTTCCTCAAAGTGTTCTTTCCAGCGTTCAAGGCGTCTATCCTGAGAGCTAATTAAGGAGCCATTTTTCTCAGAAATAGTCTCACTTATGATTTGCCTTCTCCCACCCGTTTCCCTGATGAGTCTAAAGGGTTGCCTAGTGTTACCTATCGCCGATGCTTTTTCCATCTCTTTTGCCTTTGTCAGCCACCACTGTTCACGGTCCTTGCGGAGACTTTTAGTAAGTTTCCTTTTGTGCAGCTTTCGCTCCTCATTGAATTCGGAGCTCGCCGGAATAAGTCTTCTAGCATCTATCAGTTCGGATGAGGCAGTGGAGATCCAGTGGTTTTTACTCACCTTTGGGTTTAACTTATCCACAGCTTTTACAGCTGTATCTATAGCTGACTGAATATTCTTCCAGGCTTCTTCAGGGTGAGCACAGCTGTCGAATTCAGATATGCGTTTAGGTAGTTCTTCCTCAAATAGGGATTTAGTGAGTGCATATGCACCACTGAAAACGATTCATAGCTGTGTCGTTAACAGTCTGAAGCCATTGATTCTTAGCGTGTTCGGGACCTCTATATTGTAACTGTTTCAAACTAACAGTTGTAGACACTGTGGATATTTCGAAGAAAATATTATAAATCATCCGCATAAACCTTACTGAGTATTCCTTTCTCTATTAGCCTAATATATTCGCATGCATGTTCTGTTTTATAACTTAACTAAGTTATTGATTTATATTTTCTTTTCAAGTTTGGTCATCTGTAGGAATCGGCGCTTTCTTTTTTACTGGCCATTATGAAGCTATGCTTGATTATGTCAAAAGTATGCAGTTGGGTGGTGCTATCATAGCTGCTTGTAAATTCGTCTTATGTTACCCATTGGTCTATCATTATTTGAATGGAATGAGACATTTGGTAAGTATTCACTGCAGTATTTCTTATTAATTTTTTTGTGTTCTTTGCAACTTTATTTTCACACCTAAAAGTTACAACTGGATGCCTGACGGTTTAAGTATTCGGTGATTAATATGCGAATGAAAACAAATGTTAACCGTAGAGGATATCCTCCTTTTTTTCAACTAACTGTTAAGTGTAAAGCTGAAAAGAGCGACTTGAGTGATATTGCTTATTTATGTGAGTTAGGAATACTTTTATTTGATTAGTCTTTATGTATCCCTATTACTGTTTGCCTAGAAGTATAGTGTTTTATAACCTTTAGCCATTGTTTGATCTACTAAAGATTCAAAATGGTATAGCTACTTGAACGATATTTCATTCTGACTTGAATTGCATCTCTTTATAGTTTAGATTTCTGGCAGTTATCTGCATTAGAAAGCAACTAAATCTGCATTTGATGTTATTATTTGCTTTTCGATATATTAAAAAATTTGTCTGCATCAATTGTCATATAACAAAACAAGAGCCTCTAGAATTCTTCTCTGCAAGACAGGTAGAATCGCTTACTCCTTGTATACCATTAACTTCAAACTCTAAACAATAACGTTTCATGTGATTGTTCTAAATAGACCACCTTATTAATCTGATGCTTGCTAGTGACTAGCTGCATGACGGAGTTGTATGGAGTTCTAGGGGGAAGTCGTGACCAGGCAGGTCCACCCGGTCGGTACTGAGGATAAATACTCGCCGATGAGATTGGCTGGTGGCCGGGCTAAAATAATCACCAATAAGTAGAAGTTAGAATTCATGGTCTGATCATTGAGTGGAATCCCATTTGCTTGCCTTGTAACCGAAAGGTTCTGGATTTGAGTCCCGGTGGGTGAGGAGTCCCGAACAAGGACGAAACAACTGTGCAGTGTTCCCTAGTTTTCAGTGGTTCTCTAATCGATATCAATATGTGATCAAACTCGAAAAAATGGATATATTGGAAAACAATATTTTTATTAAATACGCACATCCCCTTGTTGTCTTATTCATTGAAAAAGATAATTGTACATAAAAAGGCAATTATAAGAAACCAACAGGCGAGGTTTAGTATGCCCTTCCACTTTTTACTGTACAAGAATAAATTTTATGTATACGACAACATTTGTTTCCTTCAGGCAATTTGTAAGGAAGTAAACAAAGGGTTCACTTGTAATAAATAGAAATGATGAGCGTATGTGTATTCACTTGCATTAAAGACAATGTTGTAAATGCCATATTGTCCTCCAAAGGGTGGTGTCCTGTGCTACTATAGCACCTGACAGATACTCTTTCGCTCGTTTCAAACAGCGCTAGCAAATACTCTTTCATTTTTAAAGATATGCATTTTATAAACCCGGTGCAACACGACAGCAGCCATTATTTTCGGTGCAGTTGGTGACACGCTAATGCTTTTATAATTTTTTTCAAATTTGACCATGGATTAATGTTAGTTACAGAACCATTGGAAACCAGGGAGTACTGGACGACTGCTTCATCCCAGTGTGGGACTCTTCAGCAACACTCACTTCGAAAAGAAAAAAACAGTTAAAACAGGTGTAGACACTCATCAAGAACCCTCGAAAAAGCGCTGGCTGCTTCATATCGCCTTCAGAAATAAGGGGAAGAAGGCAGAGTTCCAAACTCAGAAGAAAAAGCTGTCAAGTACTCCCCGGTTTCCATTGGTTATCTAACTGTCATCAGTCCGTGATCAGACTTGAAACAAATCAAATCCTTGCAAGCTAACTCAAGGGAAAACTTTTATGGTTCTTAGTTGCACTATGTAGTTGTTTTCAAAGGTATACACGGTAGTAATCTCATTCCCTGTTAATTTGAACATTCTCACTCCTCTATACTTTTTTGGACAACCTTGTTAAGTAGCTAACTAACTAGAGTCTCATTGTCATCTTCAAAAACATATGAGTACTTGTGATGCTTTCCTGAACTCTGCTTCCTTAATCTGACCAGTGTTAACCAACCATGGATCACCGTGGTTGAGACGTTAGCTGTGTCTTAGAATCGAAACCGATGACGAACGTCCTGTTGTTCCCTTCTTTCCTTTATTTCTGTAAGCGATATAAAGTAGCAGACATTTTTTCGACTGTTCTTGACGAGTATTCATACCTGTTTTAATTTTTTTCTTACTCATGATTATATTTCCTTTTTATACAAATGGTTTTGCGATTATTTTGCGAAGCGCATCTTTTGGTGCTCTTACTGAATGACGTTTGTGCTTTAAATCGATAAACTAATCAAAAAACGTGCTGATATAGGGAAGCATAGTACTGATAAATTCTTCATCGTGACAAAAGGTTACTCCTTAGTTATCCAAAATGTTGATTAAGTTTTATTAGCGGTGAATTGTAGTACCAATAAAAGGACAGAAAGTTCAAGTCAGCAGGCTTTTTTCTATTACAGCCTGTCAAAAAGCAGTATCAGGTTAAGGTTGCCAGGTAAAAATTGTTTTATGCTTGCAACTTAACAACTGAACCAGTCGCTGAAGCATCCATAGTGTTTAAAGGGGGTTAGTAAATAGAGATATCAAACATACGTCAGCGAATATTAGTGACTTGTCACCATGATGATGACAGCATTTAAAAAAAATTCTGATTGTAGCTCTCAATTTTTGAAAGATGTTAACTTATTTTCAATTGATTTCTTTTAGGCATGGGATTATGCTATTGGTTTTCCAATCAAAACTTGTAACACCACTGGTTTCATTGTACTGGGATCTTCTCTGCTCGTTTCTGCCATTCTAGCGTGCATTCGATTATAGTGATTACTGTGAAATACAAGTCTAATGGGTTGTATTACCACCGCTTGTTATTTCGAAATGTCTTTTGTCCTTTTAAATGATTTTTATGTTATCAGCATATAATACCTAGTTCTTAAATCTAACTTTCAGTAATTGTATTTGTCTTACTTCAAAAAAAATATACATTCTCTAACTTTATTTTTTTTACTGTCTGGGAAAATGCATTAGCATTATTATTTACACTGGGTAATCGATTTCCGTGTCATGGGGCTGAAATTCAGTCTGTCTTTGAAGATTTTACAAAAACTTTAAATTATGATTAGTCGTATGCTGCTAAGTTATCTCTTACCGTGGTATGCGATTATGCAGCTGCCTCGTTTATTTTGTTTGGAAAAATATGAATTCCAGGGTTTGCGTTGATGTGAACTCTGGCACTAACTGGAGGAACTGTGTGACATTAAAAGTAGCTGGTGTTTATTCTTAATTTACGACTTTAGTTTACACTTACAACTTCACTTGTGATTGAATTTAGGACCGTCATGTTATTGTGTAACTACTGGTATAGAATTCGATAGTACACAACTTCTAAAATTAGCAAGTTCCCATCGGTGGGTGTTCACACTGACCACTGATTATAAAAACTTCGCAAAATCTGACTGGTCACTAATGCACAATAGGGTGAAGTCGGGTTGTTTGGGTTTTTCATCAAACTTTTGCCATTTATCTTACAGGCATATTGGATAAGATTTTCGTTTTCTTATTCGAAAAAGTATTAGGGTGAATTAAAACTTCCTAGACTTGCCTCTAACCTTGTTACTGTATGCCTAACAACTGGTTGTTCATTTCAAATGGGTTTACGAGTTGATTGAGGATTTCCAGAATTTTTTCTTGAAAAAAAATATCAGTTTCTAGTCTGTTATTGTTGAAAGTAATTCATAAGCTATAAATTAACATTTTAGTTCGCCTTAAATTATAGCGAAGAGTCGATAACTTGCGAAGGAAACTAAAGAAGACGAAAGGTATTTTCACTTAACATGTTGAATATCTCTTTTAGGGCTTTGATAAGTTGTCCTTTGGACTAAAGAACTGATTATGAGTTATCCAATGAAATGATCAAAAGTTTGACTGGTATATCTAACAACAAGACTATGTAGCCAATCAGATAAGTGGAGAATACGCTACCTAGACGCTTAAAATTTGACAACCAAACAGTTGAATATTACTGAGAGTAACAGAACACTTCACTGGAAAGACAAGATTTATTGATTCCGATGATTGAAATGAGTCCGGCTATTCGAATGCTGATTTCATGTTTACTGTGACAATACTTGATGTAGTTAACAGATTTCTCTCTATTTACTTAATATTGTTTTCTACAGTTCAACGTATATACAAATGTATGTAGTTGTGAAGCTAGGGATCACAGCTTTCTGTTAGTTTTCTTCAGAGGAAATACTATTTTCATATTAGAACTATGTGTGAAGGTGTGCGTTCATAGAACGGCTACGTTCTTACAAAGTTTCGATGAGATGACTAGGAAACTAGTAAGGTTATTTCTGGGGGTGGGGTGGGATCCAAAGTTTTAATAATCCGGCGTATATCCTTCCCCACCATGGGTTACAAGCACATTTCGAACTTGAATATAAACAGAATTTGTTGTGAAATGTTCAAATCTTTAATATTTTTCTTGTAAACAACCCTATCGACACAAGTTCTTTATCAATAGTTGGTTTGTAAAGATTAGGTTTGTTTTTACGAGTTTGACCACAGATTGATATCAGTTAGAGAACCATTGGAAAACCTGCAGGGAGAACTGGGCAGCTGTTTCACCCTAGTTTTGGAATCATCGGCACTACGCAGCCGCTGGAGTTCGAACCCAGGACTATCCATTTAGAAGGCAAACTACCTCGTATTCTATTCAGTCACTGAGATCCGACCCAAACCAAATGACGCTCGCTGGTGACCGGTAGAGGTTAGAATTCATGGGCCATTGAAACCAGCCCCAGTGGGTGCGTACTGCCGATTACTCCCAAACTAGGATGAAACAGCAGCTGTCCAGGACTCCATGGTTTTCAATGGTTCTCTGAATGTTATCATTCCGTGATCAATTCGTAAAAAGTTGATTAATTTTCACTCATCAGTGTACCTCTTATGGTAACTGTTAGGTTTACTTCTATCTAATAATACACGGTAAATCTTATGTAATACTGTCAATGAGATGAGGTGCAGACTGCCTGGTTGAAGTCGTCGAGACGCTAAGAACCAATGGCTGGAGACTATTGGTGATATGGCTCAAAATCGTTCTCAGAGGTGCAGGTGCATTCACTCTTTGTGATGTTCCATTTCTACTAAACTCTCGTGCTTTTCCATGTTACAGTTCTTTCTGCAGCACATTTTTGCTAATTACAGTTCGTCTGAGTATTTATTTCGCCTACTTTTGTGTACTACATGGAGCGTGGCAACTTGAATTGCTGCTGAGTTCTGTGTTAAGACTCAGTTGACCTGTCGATGAGAGTTCCTTTATCGAGTGCCTTAGGGACCTCTGGTATTTTCAAGTGTTTAATACTTTTTTGCAGCTATGATCAGTTTGATGTTGAAAAAGAAGCTAAAATATTCATTCAGACATCTATAAAACACAAAATAATTGAGCGAAGAATATCCTTTTTGATAAATTCCTCTTCTGGCTCTACAATTATATATATGTTTACGTACACAGAATATTCTAGATTAATAGTCAATAACAGTATTAGTGTTTTTCTAAATAATATCGATTTATAAAGTAAGATCACATTGGAATTACAGTTCATTAAAGATGCTTAAATTATAATAATACTAAAGATATAGTAGCGAATAGAATATCAACTAAAATTAGGGAAATTCCACAAAAATTGAGGATCATTCAAACCTAGATGGCCAACGTAACAATAATGTCTGAACTACATTCTTTTGGGGCATAAATTAGGCTTTTTAATGTGGATCCCCACAGCCTCAGCAATATTTAGTAGTCGAAATCTTAAGGCAAAATTGAGATTCTTGGGTATGCGGTAAATGACCCTGAAGGCGTGGTTAACGTCAATCTTGCGCTCTGTCTCCACAAGATGAGACAGAATAGCGCTACGAATGGATTTTGTTCGACCTTTGCTTGACCACACAGGGTGATGTTCGGAAATTCGACGAGAAACACGCCTAATTGTGCGACTTATGTAAATGGCTCCACAGGAGCAGTTAAATTGGTAGATACATATGGATGAGGTGAAATTAGGCAGTTTGTCTTTTACACCCGAATGCAGAAGAGGAGTGGTTTTGAAGATACAACGTGATTCAGTAGCAGGGAATGCTCGTTTCACCGCATTTCTAATGCTCTGTGTTAGTATCTCGCTAGTGTTGTCCCCGAGGAACTGGATCTGTAAGAATAAGGCCTTTTTGGAACTGTTGGTAACTTGGACTGCTTTGGTTTCATATTCTTATCAATAAACGTTTCAGGATAACCATTCTCACTTAGCAACCGTTTAATATTAATCAGTTCTTCATCAAGACATTTGTCCGAGCAAATCACTCTTGCTTTGTGAACCAGGCACTTTATCAAATTGCGTTTGTATTTCAAGGGCACAAAACTGAGAAAATGTGTGTACTGGCCCGTTGATGTAGGTTTTCTATATACACTTCTTCTTATTGTGCCATCCTCTTTTCTGGTCATAAGGACGTCTGGAAATGGAATACTAGAGTCTTTTTCTTTCTCAATGGTAAAATTTATTGCAGGATGTACCTCATTAAATTTATCCAGGATGCTCTTTGCTTCCTTCTCGTTTTTCATAATCAAAAATGTATCATCCATGTACCGACAATAAAATTCGAGTTCACTAGCCAGCTAGGAAGTGGGTGGTTTGTATCAGTTCGGCTGTCTTACCTGACCGCTGATGAGCTCGGCCCCAAACTGTGCGTCGGTGGCACAGTGGTTAGGACTCTCGCCGATCATGCACATGGTCCGGGGTTCGAGCCCACGCCGACGCACACCTGATATCTATGGTTGGCCTGCGAATTTCGGGCTACCGATATCCACGCTGAAAATTCCACACTTGTACCAAAAATACGGTGTGGAATCAAGCTGTAACCAAAAAAAATAGCTTTCCGATGTTTAGATTACTTCTATCTAACTGGCTAGCAAGCGCGACGGGTTAATGTCAGTGGTATACAATATACTCATCTCAGTTAATCAGTAGTATGTAGTTTCACGCTATTCACTGTTTGGCCCGCAAGCTTTCGGTATTCGATTATGTAAAAATTTATAAATGAAATGTCTTAGATGTATACGACTGTTTTTTTATGAGATATTTTATTCTCAGAAGTTTTAAAGATTTATATGACAGCAATAATGAGACAGAGTGATCCCGGGGTTTCTGTGTATGAGCAGGCTCTAGCACAGAAAGTGACTTAAAGAGAGGAAATAAGCAAGTACCTAAATATGTATATATATATTTAAAAAACTGCTTCGCTTAATTAGTTAATTAATTACATAATATGTCGCCTGTTAGGCAGTTCTGTTTATCATTTACAATTGACTGTTTAGAAAGTGATTGTATAACAGTATTTTCATGAAATAACCCAACAGTTTGTATATACTTTGCGTTTTTGTTTGAAGAACGATGAAAATGTATATCATAATGTTAGGTGTAATCCAATGATAGATATAGAATATGAAATAGTAGAATTAACTTGATTTGAGCTGAATTCATAGATGAAATGTTTGAAAGTCTTTTATGCAGACCTAAAAGAAGTGAAAGAATAAAAAAAACAAAAAAAAAATGGGGGGGGGGGGGTTGTAGTAGCAGATAGAGTAGATTTTTACTGTTCCGTTTGTAAGGGATTCATATGACTATATCAAGTGGTTCTGGATATGTATTTCGCTTTACTCTTGATGTAGTCAAAATCAAACACTAAAATTGTTTCTGATGTTAAAAATAAGACAATGGCTGATTGATAAGTTTTTGAAGAAGTGATTCTCTATGAAACGAAATCGAGTA